TAGATAGATAGATAGATAGATAGATAGATAGATAGATAGATAGATAGATAGATTAAATTTGTATGCTGCCCATCTCCTCCAATGGGTGACTCTGGGCGGCTCACAATTAAAACCAAAAACCACAAACAATTAAGAATAACCACATTAATAATTAAAATTAATTAATCAATTAAAAGTCAGACTGTAAAACAAATTCTATACATAACTACTAAAAACATTCAAGATGATGGGGGGCAAAATCAATTACCCCACAAGCCACAAGATGGACAGTGGTACTCAAAATCTGCTCACAGCTGTGGTTAGGATCCATTGAACAGTAGGAAGCATGGTTTAATTTTTTAGGGAAGATCACATCTCCAGAAAGGAAATAGAGTTGCCTTCTAACCCCAGAGGTAGGCCTTCCTGAAGCTAGCTGACCTCCTTCATTTGAGCAGAAAGGGAAAATTTATGAATAAATAGTGAACTTATGTTTCATTTTGAAAAAAAGATGGGTTTCCTTCATCTGTGGACAACTGAGCAGTGGAGTTTCTTTAGAGCTGTTAACCTTAGCTGATGCTCTACTACCATCTGAGCTCCTCTGTGAACAGCTTACAGAGGTTTTTTTACCCATAAAGTCTCCTAGATTAGATATTTAGCCAAACTGGTAGCACTGCAAGTCTAGGAACTTTTGGAGGAAATGGACTTTCCAATGTGGATTTAGTTCTAGCTTTGTTGCAGTTTGCCTTCAATGAGTGATAGAGGAAATACAGTTTTGTTATTCTTATGATCTCTCAGTTGCTTCTGGTATGGTTGACACTCTCCTACTCTTGTAATTTTACACTAATTTCTCTGGTCAGAAGGTGGCATTAGGAGACTTCTGCTTTGACTTTGGGAATTATCTTGGGAGATGTTACAAAAGCTCTATCTTATGTCTCATATTAACATCTGATAGAATGGGAAAGTAACAAACAAGGACTTAAGAGTTAATTTCCATAGTGTGACATAAGAAAAGAAAATCAGTGGTATTTCTCCTTTCCTATGAATCAGGGCTGGACATCTCAAAAGCCTGTATATCTCCAGGTGCACCATTGGTTTTGGACAAGATTTGTTGCCAATTCTGGCGACTGGACTTTGGGTTTGGTGATACTTTGATCAAAAGATCAAGTTTGCGTCTTGGAGCTTGTCCTGGATTTGGCATGGGCAGCTATGATGCCTTTGTGGCCGGTAGGATTTTTACCAGCGTTGGCAAATAAGAGAGGTTGTGTTGGTAATGTATATGGCAATTTCAAGGTTGGATACTGCAGTTTCATCTTCATGGTGGTTCTTTGGAAACTTTAGTTGGTCCAGAATGCAATGGTGGTGAATGGAAGCATAGGTGGCCAGTGTGAGGTTATGTGTGTCCCTCCCCCCCGTTCCTTAAGTGATTTCCTTCTCTTCAAGTTTGATAATGGACATTAAAATAGTGTAGAGAAAAGCAACTGAGAGTTGTTGGAATAAACTAGAGGAAGTTTCAGCATTTGTCACTTTCAGCCTTGATTTAGCTGCTGTATGTAAGTTTAGCATAGGCCCCCTAGTTCAGTTGTTATTGAACCTGATGCAACTAAACCTAGTAGAGCTGAATGCTTTAGAATTTTTTTTGTAGACAAAGATTGTTTCAGATCTGCTTAATTACGTGTGGACCTTACTTCAATAAAAAGCTACTGCAAAGTGTTTTGTTCTTATATATTTAGATACTGCATTGGTTTTCTCAAACCTAACAATTTTTTATTTCTTTCTTTAGTTAAGAACAGCATTGGACAGGATAGAAGAGATGGAGATGACCAACAGCCACTTAGTGAAACGGTTGGAGAAAATGAAGGCAAATAGAACTGCATTGCTATCTCAACAGTAGAAAGGAAACGTTAAAAAATATGCACTGCTCCTTGAAATGCCTGAGCTTATTTTAATACAGACTTTCTTTGGCATAAACTTTGAACACAAAGCTGTTCAGTGAGTTTTAGTTCCATAATTAAGTGGCAAATACTTTGTAACTTCAGCAAATGGGAAAAACAGCTTGCATCTTTATGCCAGTGATGAGTTTTAGCAGCTTAATTCAAGAATCTCCTGGAGCCCAATGCTCTGTGGTTGACTTACTTTATATAAACTATTTTCACGATTGTGAAATCAAGTTTATTCTCTGAATTATTTTCAACTGCTTTAATAATGCTTGGTGCTTGGAAACAGATGCACGAATTCAAGAGTATGCTGCACAACAAACTAACCAATTATGTGCTCAAGACATCACATGGCACAAGTGCCTTCAATATAGTGCAATGTATACTTCAGAGATTAGAACAAAATAACCTATGGAATCAAATACCATTTATTTTAAGATACAATTGGAGTCTTGTTTGCTAAACTTTATACATTTTGATGGAAAACACTTTTGTAAAATATTTAAATTTATATAAAATAGAAATGACTGTATAAAATCTGCTTTATTGCATGGTGATGCACACTTGAGGTTTTGATTTGAAAAAGTACTGTCCCTATTCTTAATATAAGAGTAGTGAGCAAGATTTGTTATTGTACAGTGTAAAACCTGGTGTGTGAGCTGCTTAAGCATGGAGTGAAATGTGGGTGGGAGAAATGTGGCAGAAAAAAACTATTAAATGACACTTTACATAGCATGGCTGTGTCTTATCTTACTGTTCTCTGACATTTTCATTGTTGAGTTTTTCATTGTGCTAATTCTGATAATTCTTGTCCTCCCATATAACTCAAAATACCACTGACTGAAAATATCTCAGCTATTTATGTTGAACAATAAACTTGGCAAGATATAATTAAGTAGCTAAAAACTATGTAAACAGCAGCTGTTTATATTCACTATATTACTTGTGGAAATTTGCTAATTACTCTATTACTGTCTTTGTATAAAATTTGAGTGATCCTTTACATTGAAGGGTGTGATCATCTATTTCCAGACTATCTGCCAGCAGAAATATTAAACTAAATAGGGCCAAGTAGAATAACAGAATTTTGCTCTTACATATTTGTCCAATATATACCCTCATCAGTTGCATGATTCATTAATAGGATGTGGATTTAACTATCTTTTATATTTCTGGGTTATAAATGGAAATCTAGGAGTTTAATTAAGTTTTCTTTATTTGCAGACTGTACAATATGTGGATATTGTGAAAAGTTGAACAATAATGGATCAATTTTCTGACCGTACAATATAGTCACTTTTATACAGAAGTTAAAATATAGTAATATTCAATGGCTGGTTGAAGTTTACAATGACAAGAAAGAAAATAAATAGTAATGGATTCTTAGATTAAATATCTGTGTTCAGCACCGCTCAAAAACTTTGTACAAGTCAGGTAGATTAGCAAGTTGCAAAACATTGCCATCTTCTCTGAAGTTTGTAGGAGGTAAAAGGTATGTTCGAAAAGCTTTGTAAAGTATATGTTCCACTGTCCATTTCCATGATCTTGTACTTTTTCCAGGCTCTTCAACCTGTAAGAACAGTGTCAACAATCAGTTTAATACCAGTTCATATTAAACAGTTTATATAAAACATACACATTAATAATGTAATTAACATGCCTTGTTTAGATTCCTCCCAGTTGATTATTAAATTTGTAAGTCATTACACTAGTGCAAGCAGCAGTAATAGCTGTAGACATGCTTTGTAATGGTGAGTGTCTAGCAGTTCATTTGTTTAATCTTTTTTTGATTATTTACCATTTTTGCAATGATCTGTAAATTAATTATAAAAAAATTCATTCATTCATTCAAAATGAGCATTTTGCAAGAATTGTTCCCTTTCAAATCTTACCTACACTGTGACACAAATTAATGAAAAATACAAATATTTAAGGGTGAATGTTTTACTTACATAGCAGCTTGAGAAGTGCAAACTGGGTACACTGACTTTAAAATGCAAATAGAACAAAATTCCCATAATGTCTAATACTTGGTTGCTTTAGTATACCTAAATTCATGTGCAACATCTAAGTGCTACACATCCTAGTAATAAAGCTTTTAGAGTAAAAAAAAAAAAAAAATTAAAACAGGCAATATGTTCATCCTATACAGGTAGCCCTTGCTTACCAAATGCCTTGTTCAGTGATCATTCGGTTATGACAGCATGGAAAAAGTAGGTTTACAATCAACCCTTGTACTTGGGGCTGTTGCAGCATCTCTGCAGTCATATGATCACCATTTGAGACCTTCACAGCCAGCTTCCAACAAGCAAAGTCAACAGGGAAACCAGCAGCAAGTCATGATCATGTGACATCATGCTTAACGACCGTAGCGGAACTGACATGTCTGGTGTGGTTGCATGACGTTTCACTTAATGACCACATCACTTAGCAATGGAGTTGTCAATCCCAATTGTGGTTGATAAGTGAGGACTACCTGTAATCACACCTCTTGCAAAAAGTTCACTAGAGGAAATAGAAATGTTGTGACCCAATATTTATTATAGAGTATTCATTTTTAAAAATTTCTACGCACAGTAGCTTTTATTGCCATGAATATACATAGAGCAAATGAAGTTCAAGGCAGAAGATAAATCTAAATCTTGTTTATATTTACATCATTGAAATACACTTGCAAACTATCCTTGTTTCTACAGCATCCATACATCAATTCATATATTACCTTTTGTTCTTTAAAATTCTCACATCTCTTTTTGAGGATCCCATCATCCAAATACAACTTTCTCAGCCTTTTTCTTTTCAACTCATTCACTCTTCCTTCACATACTTCCATTTCAGGAGCAGATTGCCTTAAAAGCACATTTAATACTGAAGCTCCCCATGATGGAGATTGGTGTCAACCAATGTGTTGACAGGGCTGCCCTTGAGACAACTCTGCAAGGACCAAATTGCCATGGATGCCAGCTATTTGAGCTGAGAACTCATTTTCTCAGTCATTTGTCTTAGAGTTTTTTATCATGCTATCAGTCAACTGAAGATGAAGGCAATCTTCACACCACTAACAGATGGAAGCCATTTGGATATACATTGGCTCCACAAAAACATGCTATCAAGGAAGAATGAGGTTGAAGGGGCTGCAGTTAGAGGCATCCTGACTGTTTCTCTGGGCAGAGAAGATCTGCTGATATAGCATAGCTATGGTCTAGTTAAGCAGACTGTATTTTATTGCAGCCAGAATAGATGCTGCATCCAGAGGTGTTTCAGAAAATCATGGATCAGTGGGGAGCACCTCTAGCTGACATTTGTGCAACAAAGGAGAACGAAAAAAAAATTACCTGTTATTTTTTCACTTCTATTGTGAATTCAAAAGGTATTGATGCTTTAATGGGTCCTTGGCCACAGGGTTTACTAAATGCAATCTCAGCTAGCTCACATTTAGCAAGGGTGACCCACAGGGTAGGCATCCTATGTGCAAGGGTAATGATGATTACCCTCTTTTGGCCCAGGCAACCTTGGGTCTTGGTGCTGGTCAAGATGAGGATTGAGGAACCGTAACATCTTCCAGAGTGGCCAAATCTTCTGAGCCCAGGTTCCATCCTGCATCTACATCTGAGGTGACTTCATCCTTTTTTCTGGAACTTGAATGGGGGTAGCTCTTAAAAGCCAGTATTCCCAAAGAAGTTGGTAGGAGAAACCAACTTAGTAACTAGGTGATTAAGCACAATTTACCTATACCCACAGATGTGGAAAGTTTTTCTTTGTTGATGTAGGAGAAATTGTCTACAATTCCCTCCTATATCCAAAGGAAGCCACAAGTTCCCCAGCAGCTAGATTTCCTTCAGGCAACCTGCACAGCAGGCTATAGCTCTTGGCTCCATACTTTGGAATAGGCAAGGCACCTGGGCTCAGCAAACCCTTATGTTAAACCTTTTCTTATGAAGGCTGGACTAATTTCCCCTCCTGTTATTGTTTTACTTGGAGAGATTTATCATTAGTGTTGAGATCCCTAACAGAAGCTCTTTTCAATACAGAGGTTCATATTAAGGTATTGATTTGAAAAACTGCTTTTCTGGTGGTGGGGTATGTCAGCCAGAAGGGATAGAAAAATGGGAGCTTTATTCATGTGTGTGATTTTTGTTCAGACAGAGTAACATTGAGGCCTATCTAATGTTAATTCAAAATTCCATAGGTATCAGGATATAACTATAATTTCTGCCCAAATCCCAATCATCCTACAAAAAGATTTTGGAGTAAGTTGGATGTACTTATATATTCACACATGTATTTGAAATGCGTTCTGACTTATTCTTCAGTAAAGGAACAATAGTGGCATTCTTCCAATTGTTACACATAGATGCAGACTTCATACATATGCTAAACAAGCCTTGCAGCCATTCGGCAAGCAAAGTATGTCCATATTTTAACGTTTCTGCAGTTACTCCACCTACACCCTTATTTTTTAACCTTCTCACAGAACTTCTGAGTTCCTTTTCAACTACTTTATCTCAGATATTTATATTCATAGTATTCATTTCAATTCAACTCTTCCATTTATCACTCTCCCATACAAATCCTTCCAGCATTCCCTTGTTTCAGTCTTATCCCGAATCATGTCATCACTTGTATTATTCCTTTTATTCTGCTGGAGGCTCCTCAGTTGGCCCTTTTCACCCACTTCCAACCCCCCCCATCCACAGCTTCTTTCACTTCAAATTCCAGCAAGCATTCTTTTTCATATTTTACACTAGCATGATTCCATACATTTTATGAACACTGTACATTTTTTCAGTTTGTTTCAAGCATTTTCACTAGTGAGACACTATTATTTATTCCAAGTCTCCAATTGACTCAATCACTTCTGCAATCTCATATTTGTTCTCTCATCCAATCTTGTCACTAAACAGAATAACATTTCCCCTACATCGCATTTATTCAGAATTTTGCATGTTTTTTCCCTAAAAGCTCATTCGTGGTTCTTCCATTATCACCATTTAGTGGATCATAACATGCAACTGTTATCAACCTATGGGTTCCTACCTTCATATGCATCTATAACAATGCAGATGACATCAATTCATATTCTTTGAGATACACTGTGGCCTTTTGTTCATTGTTAAACCAACACCTTCATTTCCATATATGTGTTCATCAACTTCACAAGATGGGGTCATTTTCTTTCAGATCTATTACATCTTTCCACACAGTTTCACAAACACACAGCATATGTACTAATTTCATTTCACTGTTAATTAATGCCCTTTGCCATTTACTACTCATATATCCGGAGTTGCAATCTCTTTGTCATGGCCATCACCAGATAGATCCACAGATAACGACCTCTACTGCCCACCAAAGCTTTCACATAAGCTATACTATACCTTTTGTATCTTACTGTAAGAGTGTTAACAGCTTTTGTAGTATGTTATGTCACATCAGCAGTCACTACTAATGTAAGGACAATAGTGATCATTTTAGCCAGTATGCTACAAATGCAACTGAAACCCAGTTTTACCCAAGCACACTATTCTATGTAAGACCTCTAATCTAGACACCACTTTGCAATCAACATACCAACTAGGATGCACATGCAGTGAAGGTAACAGCATAGGATAACATTAATGCTGAGACAGTGAACACAGTAGTTTTAGAGCTAGAGAGTTCTCTCCTACAATTGTGCTGCTCAAGATAAGTCGTTATTATGAATACTTACATAAATGAAAAGCTAATTTATAA